CTTCAAAACCCTCTCCAAACTTAAAACTCAAAAATAAAAGTAAAATCTGAAAAATATTGTTTCAAAGCTAAAAATTCTCTCTTAAGCTAAAACTCTCAATGAGTATTTATAGTTTTCAAAGATTTGTGCTGCAACGGATCAGTAGGCGCAGTTAGTTGGGATCGCCGATCAACTCGGCGGTCTTGCTCTATCCTTCAGCATCGTCGTGTTTTGGATCATTAGGCGATATAGTACTGCTTCACGAAACTACTCGGCGACACGCCGACTGCTCCTTTTCACCGCAGATTTGATCCTTTCCTTCAGGGCTTAGCACACTGAAACAAAAGGCGAGGATAAAACCTTATGGCGACTCACCGATTGTTCCTTTTTGCTAAGTAGTGTCCATGCTTTCCCTCAAACTCCAAATACCTGAAACTTAAAGATTTTCATCAGATTATTGAGACAAAATATGCATTTGAAGATACTAATTCTATCAAAATATAGCCCTAGATGAGTCCAAATCGTGGACTCATCAACCTGTCAGAAAACTCAACGCTGATCCTGCACCTGTAGCCTGCAAACTTATCAACATTTAAATAATAAGTTTCAAGGGAGAGCTTCATGGTACGTGTCACTTCGTCCCTTCGTCCCTTTCAGGTGCAGATGAATATGTTGTTTAGCTTGGGACTAAACGGCTTATGATCCTTCTCTTAATGGTAGAACAAAAATAAGAAAGGAGCTCTCCTAACCTAAGCAAGCTGCGGAGTCGCAAAGACCTCCCTAGACAGTTAGGAAGTCTTGCATAATTGACCTTCTTCACCTATGGATGGAAAGATAAATATTCAGAAATATTTTGTGCATTATCCTGCACAAAATTTTTATACCATTACGAAGTAGATTGATAGATAAAAATGATTTTAGAAAAAAGTAATTGAGCATAAGATGAAATTAACAAAATTTGACTATAACGCTGAAATACTTGATAGCCTCAGTAACATGCTTAAAGAGTGCTAAAGATCCTGTCAGAAATCTCAGCACCCATTCTGCATCCATAGACTGCAAATTGATCAACAATTAAAGAGAAAGTTTCAAGGGAGAGCTTCACGGTGGCAAGATACGACAATGATTGCGCCTTAGTTCAAATTCCTAAAAAAATCACTTGTTTGAATATATGAGACAAATTCCTAAAAAAATCACTTGTTTGAATATATGAGACAAATTCCTAAAAAAATCACTTGTTTGAATATATGAGAGAAGTGCAAATACCACCCAGAATGGTCAGGTAGTCCTGCGTAATTGACCTTCTTTACTCGTGGATGGGAAGATAAATTTTCTGCAACCTTTTGTGCATTCTCCTACTAGATATTGAAATTATTTCGTGAAAACACTATGATATGCCAGAATTTTACGAACCACCCTAACTTCTCTACACAATATAAAGATGAAGATGCAGTAGTATGCATGCGATAATTATAAAAATCTATAGGATCAAGAATAATAGAATTAACAGAGGGGAGGTGGATATATATGTTTCTAGAATGAGTGGTGGGACAACTAATTTCACCTAAAAAAACAAATAAAATTAAACCTATTGTTTTTCAATGAGGAGAGCCATTGTTTTGATTCTTCTCAAACAAACGCTAACCCTGCACCTACAGCATCTTGTAGGAACTCTCCATTTCATTTTCGTGCTAATATGAAAAAATCCACAATAAAAGTACCAATTCTAAGCTTAAGCAAACCAAAATAACTACGAAAAAAGCCTCAAATGAGTGGAAATCTACTACTCATCAACACCCCAACTTAGAAACTTTGTTTGCCCTCAAGTCAAGAAAATAAAAAACACAAGTCACTCTTATTTCAAGACACACCACAAATCAATTTCCCTTTCTCAATTAAGCACAAAGATAATGACTTCGGTTGGTACTAACAAATAGTCAACATGCAAACTTTCCACAACAGAAATCCTCTCATTCTCATGAAACATTTTCAAAAAACCAAGATTCATTTAAGTGACAACAGCTCAAACTCAAGAAATGACTCAACTCATATCACATGCTCGCTTGACTCAATTAGGAATTTTCAAAATCACCACTTTTTAGACTTACATCCCTTCACAAGAAAGACGTGTCCCAAAATCACACACACTTATAAACAAGACAAGGGACAAAGATGCAACACTCACAGTCACAAATAATCATCTCATGCACATAAATGTCACAGCATAGGCTTGCCCATATTTTCAATCAACATTGACTCAAACTCCATTTGGTTAGAAATCTCAAAGGACTTTTGTTAAGCTTGTAATATAGGCTTAGGGAAGGTTAGGATATCATTTAGGTATAAGTGACTACGCCTCCTTAACACTACATAACAACTAATCATTTCCAACTTTCTCCACTTTTCAAACTCATGCACATTCCAGACTATTTTTCATTTTTATTTTCTTATTTCAACTTTATATGCTCCACATGCAACCATTTTAAAATTTTGGAGGATTCAAGTCTCATTTATTTATTTGTTTACTTTCTTTTTCAAAGTTTTTTCTTTCGGTAACACTTTCCATTCATCCCTCAATCTTTTTTTTTATATCAAGCCCTTATGTGGTAAGCATCTCTACAATGACTTTCTCATAGCTCCCCCAACTTAGACTTTTAGCCTCAGCTTTCAAAACCTCAAGTTCAAGGAGGTAAGGGTTCAAAAGAGGATTACTTTTTTAAAAACGATAAGGCTTGTAATGTGGATGCCAATAAAAGAGATTAGGCTCAAAGGGGACAAGTAAAGATTTATTTAGTGCAAAGCTTAGATTTTTAGGCCAAGTGGACTTCAAAAACAGCAAAGAAAGCCTACGATCATTTCTCCAACCAAACACAAGACCAACATTTCAAGACCAACCAGGCAAGTTCTAGGTGACAAAACCAAACACAAGGCATTATTCAACAACTCACCACACATGGCCTGGAAATCAATAAAGATGGTTCAAAATCTTACTTCCTTTTCAAAATACAACTAGCTTTGAACATTTCAACCGCTAACGAATCAAAAGTCACAAAATCATTCATAACATTCTCAACCTTTTAAAACTAGAGAGGTATGCTCAGTACTATTCACATGCATGACTATGCTCTTGTACCAACCAAGTCAAAACCTTCTCAAAAAGACAATGATTTTGCCCTTAAGAAAGCCGTCAACCAATCCATCATCATGCAACCTCATGCATCTATTCAGGAACGGCTACTCAAACTTCGCCACAATCAGTGTCTATCAAACACTCACAAGCAATCGATGATTTAACCTTAAGAAAGTCGTCAGTCTCTATCAATTATCGGATATCGTCAATCCAAATCTTATTAACAAAACAAAAATAGAGAATCTACAAACTACATATCAAAAACTAAAATAGACCAATCCAACACAATATCAACAAAAACATCCATAATATTAAAGCCCGACAAGGGCCTAATTCTCTCTGGATAGCCGATAAACGTTTTTGACATAACGAGCATGGCCATTCCGGCCACTGGTCAGTCTGTTCTTGGGGCTGACCACCTGCCATTGCAACAAGAAACTCAATTCCCTCCATTAAAGTCTCATATTACCAACTTTAGCTTGTCTAACAAGCCTAGAGTTTTGCCTAACGAGAATACTGGTAATGACAAAAACAAAGTCAGTATGGAGATGTATGTGAATATTCTGAAGGCTCCAAACCCTGTTTTAGCACCTACTATTGGTGTAGAACCTATACCACTAAAGAAAGTTGCATACACAGATGGTATTCCCAGGGTGTCTTGGACAGAGGATGAGGTGAATAGAATGAATACTATCGAAAACCTCCAATATGCTGTAATTGGAAAGTTCTCATATGGTTGGCCTCAGATTGATGAACTACGAATGTTTTTGCCTAGAAAGTGTAATATCTAAGGTGGATGCAAGATTGAGTTACTACGCAACAAACATATTTTTATAAGGTTGGATCGACAGGAAGATTTTATTAACTTGATGTCAAAAAACATCTACTATATATTGGCCAAGGACGAATATTCTTACTCTATGAGGACTTTAATTTATGATGCAAAATTTAAAGTTGATGAGGAAACTACACAAGCTATGGCATGGATATCTTTTCCTGATTTAAAACCAACTTTTTTTGTGAAGGAAGCAGTTTTCTCTCTAGCTTCAGCAATTGGAAAGCCATTATATCTAGATACGGCGACGATAAACAAAACAAGGTCAAGTTATGCGAGAGTCAAAGTACAAGTAAATCTACTATTTGACTTCCCTAAATTTTTGGAGATGGAAATAATTAAGGAAATCACTAAGGACTTGTTTAGTGTGAGGGATAAGCATAAATAGTCCTGGGATAAAATTTAGATGTCTTGTTTGGTTGACATGTTTGGGATAACTTATCCCACCATTTATAGCATAATGATGGGATAAGTTATCCCATATACATGGTGGGATAAGTTATCCCAGGATAACTAACCCTAGGATAGTTAATCCCGAGATAACTAGTTCCAAACTAAACGACCCCTAAGGAATCAAGGATTGAATAGGTTAAAATACATTATGATATGATGCCCAAATATTGCAAACATTGCAAAGTTCAGGGACATGATGAAGTCGATTACAGAAAATTACATCCTGAATTAAAGAAACCTAGTGCAGAGAAGGAGGTACAAGTACAGGAAGAGGAACAACAACAAGGGGAGCAAGGACATCAAAAGGTTACAGTTGAACAGGAGAATACTCAACCAAGAAGGAAAAGAATTGTGGGAAGGTATTGGAATCCTACAAACAGATTGTTCACATTAGAAAAAGGGGCAGTGTTAAGTGATAAAACATCAATACCTGGTAAGGGTATTGCGGATGGTAACTCGTTTGCTGCATTGGCTGAGAAGGATATGGAGGAAGTTCATAGTGATAGTATATGTACAGAGATACCAGTTCAAATAGGGGAGGAGAATGAGTCCATGGACACTAATGTTAATACAGAAAAAGCTAACCAATATGTGCCTCACCACTCATCCACTAAAGAGTGGGTCACTAAAGCTTTTATCACATATCACAGGAAGGGTGATGGGAAACATAGCATTAATACAAACATTAATAAGATAATGTGTCAAAGGGATGATGCATCAGTCTTGGAAGGTACTGAAGACATGAATAGTAATGTCACTGATCTGAATAACTTGGCACCTGTAGAAGAAGAACAAATGGTTAGTAATACTAATCAGACTAATGAGCAGGCATATGATAGTAAGGAGACAGAAAAATTAAACTCAGCAATAGAAGTGGCATAAACCAAAGATGATGAAGATAATATACTAGCTTTGACACATGTAGAAGATGAACAAAATGTTAGTAATATAAAGAACTCAGTGAGCAAGTTAGTGTGGATCAGAATGTCAATGAATCAGAGGATTTAACTTCAGCAGTAACTATTTCAAAAGACATAGAGGAAGAAGAGAGGATATTAATATTGAGGAAAGAAATGGCAGAGGCTACATATCATACTCCTCTTTAGATGGTTAGTATGGAGACTGTAGAAGGAGGTTTACTTCCTGTTATAGGTCAAAAATCAGCCCATATGGAGAAATTACATGCTCTTGTGTCTCATCAGGTTCAGGAGGATGAGGTGATGCACAAAGGGGAAGTTTCTCAGAAAGTATAGGTTGAAGATACTGAAGAAGTGAACAACATCAAGAATGGCATGAATGTTTGTAAAGAAGTGGGTGTATCTCCTAACGTGTTGTCGAAGGTAGGAATAGGAAAGATAACACCAAAGAGAGAGAAGAAATACCAACCAGGATTCAGGCTAAAAGGGTGGTTAAAGCTATATTTAAATGACCCTTAAAGTCTTATTTTGGAATATTAGGTCGGTTAGAACTCAAAATGCTTTTCATAGAGTTCAAATGTTGAATAAACATCACAAGTTTTTCTTAATAGCTTTGTTGGAGCCTTTTCAAGATACAAGACAAATTCAGAAGTACAAGAGAAGACTAGGAATGCAGTATGTTAATTATAACTCTAATGGCCATATCTGGTTGTTTGTTAAAGAGCATATCCATGTGGGGTTTATTTCTGATTCTGAAGAATAACTGACTCTGCAGTTGACAATGCAAGATGGTAAACAATTTTTGACTACTATTGTATATGCTAAATGTTCAGTTGGAGAAAGATTAGAACTATGGGATGAGTTGTATTACATTAACTATAATCTATCTATGACATGGCTTGTTGGGGGAGACTTTAATGTCATACTAAGTAATGAGGAAAAGATAGGAGGCCTACCAGTATATCCTCAAGAAGTTGAAGATTTTGCTTGTTGTATTAACTCATGTGAGTTATTTGATATGAATTTCAGTGGTAGTCCTTTTACCTGGTGGAATAAGAGATCAGATGAAGAGTGCACTTTTAAAAGGCTTGATAGAGTATTGTATAATCAAGACTTGAATGAGTTGTTGGGTAACATAGAACTCCAATATCTATCCAGAACTGGTTCAGACCATGCTCTTTTGTTACTCAGTTGTGTAGGCTGTGACCAGACTGTTTCAAGGCCATTCAGATTCTTGAAATTTTGGACAAAGCGGGATGATTTTAAAGAGGTGGTGAAGGAGTCTTGGGGTTCTACCTTGAATTCTGATATTTTTATTGATTGGAAGCTTGAGATGAAAAGAACGAAATTAGCACTTTCTAAATGGAGCAAGGAAAAAATTGGTGATATATTTAATCAAGTGCAGATTAGAGAGGAAATAGTGAGAATGAAAGAAGATTTATTTGAAGAGCATCCAAATTCAGCTAATAGAGTTATATTACAGCATGCTCAGGCTGAACTAAAACTCTATCTTCACTATGAAGAAGAATTTTGGAGACAAAAGGCTAGCATTCAATGGTTCACTGAAGGAGACAAGAACACCAAACTCTTTCACTCATTAGTGAAAGGTAGAAGAAAAAGACTGTGTTTAAACATAATTCAAAGAGAGAATGGATCTTGGGCAGAAGGGAAGGAGCAGATTGCAGTAGAAGCATTAGATTTCTTTAAGGATCAACTCTCTGAATCTGCAGTTGATTTTGAGTTTCATCTGTTGTAGCATATTTCTCCTATTGTCTCTACTGGTGATAATGAACTACTGAAAATATTACCCGAGGATGATGAGGTGAAAAGGGTGGTTTTTAATCTTAATGGAGATAGTTCTAGTGGGCCTGATAGCTTGACAGGACATTTTTATCAAGTATGTTGGGATGTGGTTGGGGCTGAAGTCGTGAAGATTGTACATGCTTTCTTCAATGGTAATTCTTTTCCCAAATCAATAACTCATACTAATTTAGTCTTACTGCCTAAAAGGGATATCATTCAATCCTTTTCAGACCTAAGACCTATTAGTTTGAGTAATTTCATTAATAAAGTGATCGCTAGAATTGTTCATGACAGATTGGAAGGTTTGTTACCTAACCTTATTTCATAGAATCAGTCTGTTTTGTGAAGGGAAGGAGCATTACAGAAAATGTTTTATTAGCACAAGAAATAATTACTGATATTAGGAAGAGGGGTAACCCTGCAAATGTTGTCATCAAGCTAGACATGGCCAAAGCTTACGATAGAGTAAATTGGAACTTTTTAATTAGAGTTCTTGAACACATGGGTTTTGACGCAGGAGTAGTAGATATTATTTGGAGACTTATGGCAAACAATTGGTATTCTATTCTTATTAATGGACAAGCTTATGGTTTCTTTCATTCTACAAGGGGAGTAAAACAGGGGGACCCTCTTTCTCCTGCCTTATTCATTATTACAGCTGAGGTTTTATCCAGTGCTTTGAATCATTTGTTTCATAACAATGAATTTAAAGGTTTTGGAATACCTAAATGGAGTGAAAAATTAAATCATCTCGTCTATGCAGATGATACCATTATTTTTGTTGGAGCTGATAAGAAATCCTTATTACTCATCATGCAAGTATTGAAGGATTATGAGAGACAATCAGGTCAGAAAATCAATACAAGCAAAAGTTTTTTCTATATGCACAACAAGACTGCAATATCTCATGTAAATGATGTTATTGAAGGTATTGGGTTGACAAGAGGCACTTTTCCTTTAAAATATTTGGGGTGTCCTATTGGTCATGCAAAGAAAAGAAAATCTATTTTTTCTGAATTAATAAAGAGGGTCCAGAACAAGCTCCAAGAATGGAAAGGTAAGCTTTTATCTTTTGGGGGTAAAGCAATCTTGATTCAGCATGTACTACAAAGTATGCCAATATATTTGTTATCAGCCATTATTCCTCCTAAATGTGTTCTATATTACCTTCATAGAATCTTTGCTAAATTTCTATGGAACTTTAAGGAGGAAGGGAAGCTAAACATTGGGTTGCTTGGAATGACATGTGTGTACCTAAGGAAGAGGGAGGTCTTGGGTTTAGATCTCTTTTTGACATATCCAAAGCTTTATTTGCTAAACTGTGGTGGATATTTAGAACTAAAAATACTATGTGGTCTATTTTTTTATGGAACAAATATTGCAAAAGGCATAGGCCTCAAGTAGTGGAGTGGAGGGGTGGATCTCTAATCCGCAAGATGATGCTTTGGGCTAGGGATAATGGATCAGGAGATTTGGTGGGAACCTAGGTGTGGACAAGCTAGTACTTGGTATGATAATTGGTCCCAAATTGTCTCTATTCATCACTTAGAGCAGATTAATCAGAATCTCTCAGGCTTAATGAAGGAGGTGAATCAACTGTGGAATAATGGAGAGTGGAACAAGCCTTTAATGTCTAATATGTTAACATAAGAATTGTGTCAGCATGTTTTCAAGGTGTTAGGGTCAGATCATAATTCTGGAGAGAGTGATATAACTTGGTGGATTCCTAACAACAGTTCAGGAAAATTTACAGTTAGAAGTGCTTGGGAATTGATTAGACAAAGAAGTAATGCAATAGAAGGTATAATGCAAATTTGGGAAAAAGGAATTCCTTTCCGAATTTCCTTCCTTATGTGGAGAATCTGGTTCCAAATAATCCCCATTGGTCAGGTTTTGGTTAGATATAAAATTTGTGACTATGTGGTATGTTGTTGTTGTAATGCGGGGACACAAGAAATTTTAACCATCTATTTGTAGGTTGTCCTGATGTAAACTATCTATGGAGAGTATTTGCAGGAGCTGCAGGTATCCCAGGGCCTTTTGTTCAACTTAGACAAGTTATTAAGAAATGGTGGGAGTTTGATGGGTGACAAAGTTGAAACCGTTATACAAGGCAGTCCCTACATTCATAGTTTGGAAAGTATGGAAGAGACGGAATGTCCTCAAACATGGAGGCAAAATGTCAAGGCATTCAATGAAAATGGAGACCAACAAGAACGTATATTTGATGACCAAAGTACGATATCCATGGTTGGTGGAGGTACCAAATGCATGACCCCTAATTATACCTTTTCTAGAGGCTTACAGTCCTATGTTGACTAGCAGAGTTATAAGGTGGAGATGCCCTGAAGAAGGTACTTTTAAATGTAACACTGACGGCTCAAGTAGACCTGTTTTGGGGACTAGTGCTATGGCTTTTTGTGTGAGAAATCATCAAGGGTGTTTGCTGTATGCTGAAGCTAAGAGTATTTCTTTGTGCACAGCCTTGGAAGCTGAAACCAAAGCATTCAATAGCGACATTTTATACTGTTTAGAGCATAATCTTATGCCTCTTGTGATGGACACAGATTCTCTGATTATTAAGAAGGTGCAAGATGGTATCTGGGAGATACATTGGTCGATTGCAGTAGAGATTAGAGTTATAAAAAGAGCTATGGAGAATGGTACAACGATGATTGAGCACACCTATAGAGAAGGAAATAAACTTGCTGATTTTTTAGCTTAACTATGTTTTCAGCTTTGCAGGAATAGATCAGATGCAGTTTAATTCTAGTCAGGAGTTACCATAGCAGGCAAAGATCATACTACAATTAGATAGAAACATCACACCAAATATTCGAACAAGGAAGGTTCAAAACAGAAACTTTCAAATATAGGAGGATAATCAAAGTTAGCACTGTGGGAAAAAAGGCAAGCAAGATATATCAGAAGAGTTTCAATGAAAATTGCATTCGAACTCGAATCCCGAATGTAAATGCAGATCTGCGAAGTTTGTTTCAAAATTGATTCCTAATAGAGGGTAATACCTTTCAGATTCAAGGGTTGATGTAGTGGTATTAGCTCTTTGAGCTCAAACTGCACAAAACTTGGAAATGTTAGGTAAAATCCTCACAAAGGAGCTAATCAAAGTTGAACAGGATCTTGGTCTTACATTTGAGCTGGTATTAGTCGGAGCAGGTTGAAGCTGAAGAAGTCTTCATTGGTGTCGAATTCATGACATTTGTGAGAGGTCAAACGTCCAAGTGGATATCACACAACCTTCATGCCCTTTTTCCGATTTCTCTTGCCAATACAAGGCCATCGAAGCTCTAGAAGATGTTGAAGAAGAAAAATCTCTTTCTTTTAAGAGCATTATGTCCATGTCCTTTATAGTTTTATTTTCTTTGTTTTTTCCTTTTTTTGTTTAAATTTTCGTCTCTGTTTGTTTCATTTCTTTGGACTTGGGTCACTTTTGGGCCCCAGGTTTTGTTTCTATGCAATTTTGATTTAGTTTATATATGGGTATTGCCCAACCTTAAGATAAAAAAAAATTCATAACAAAGAAAGAAAAGTACCCACGGCAAGGGCATAATCACAATATGAAGAAACAATCAACAAAATGAGTACAAAAGAGGAACCTCCAACTGAAAAATGAGACTGTGTCCTCATACTCAAAATATCAAAAGAGAATACGGACTACCAAAGAAAAAGAATATTACATGGAAAAGCTTGAGAAGGCAATGTCATTAGGAAGTAGTTTGATTGGAAAAAATCACAATATGCAGAAACAATCAACAAAATAAGTACAAAGGAGGCACCTCGAACTGAAAATGAGACTGTGTCCTCATAGTCCAAATATCAAAAGAGAATACGAGGGACTACCAAAGAAAACATATTTTACATGGAAAAGATTGAGAAGGGAATGTCATTAGGAAGTAGTTTGATTGGAAAAAATAGATCTTTGAAAATAGTTATTGACAAAAAGAGTGCCAAAGAACCTGTCAGAAAACTCAGCACCAATCCTGCATCCATAGCCTGCAAATTGATCAACATTTAAACAATAAGTTTCAAGGGAGAGCTTTATGGTAGAAGGATACCGACAACCAAAGCGCCTTAGTTCAATGTTTAGCTGAGAGAAGTGCAAAGACCTCCCTGGATGGTCAGGAAGTCCTGCATAATTGACCTTTTTCACCCGTGGATGGGAAGATAAATATTCAACAATATTTTGTGCATTCTCGTGCACAAATGTTTTGCACCATTACGAAGTAGTTTGATAGGGAAAAATGATCTTAGAAAATAGTAATTGAGCATAAGATGAAACTAACAAAAACTAACTATAATGCTGAAATACTTGATAGGCTAAGCAACATGCCTCAAGAGTGCTAAAGATCCTGTCAGAAAACTCAGCACCGATTCTGCACCCATAGCCTGCAAATTGATCAACAATTAAATAGTAAGTTACAAGGGAGATCTTTACCGTGGCAAGATACCAACAATCATAGAGCCTTAGTTTAAATTCCCAAAAAAATCACTTGTTTGAATACTTGAGAGAAGTGCAAAGACCTCCCTGGTTGGTCATGAAGTCCTGCATAATTGACCTTCTTCACTCGTGGATGGAAAGATAAAGATTTAGTAACTTTTGTGCATTCTCCTGCTAGATATTGAAATTATTTACTTAAAACACTACGATATGCAAGAATTTTACGAACCACCCTAACTTCTCTACACAATATAAAGATAAAGATTCAGCAATATGCATGCCAAAATCATAAAAATCTATAGGATCAAGAATAATAGAATTAATATAGGGGCAAGAAGACATATATGTTTCTAGAATGAGTGGTGGGACAACTAATTTCACCACAAAAAAAAAGTAAATAAAATTAAACCTGTTGTTTTACAACGCGGAGAGCCATAGTTTTGATTCCTCTCAAACAAAGCCCACAATCGATTGGCGCTAACCCTGCACCTTCAACATTTTGTAGGAACTCTCCATTTCATTTTCGTGCAAATATGAAAAAAAAACACATTAAAAGCACCAATTCTGAGCTTAAGCAAACTAAAATAACTACGAAACGACCCTCAAATGAGTGGAAATCTACTACTCATCAACACCCCAACTTAGAAACTTTATTTTTCCTCAAGTCAAGAAAATAAAAAACACAAGTCACTCTTATTTCAAGACACACCACAAATGAATTTCCCTTTCTCAATTAAGCACAAAGATAATGACTTCGGTTGGTACTAACAAATAGTCAACATGCAAACTTTTCACAACAAAAATCCTCTCATTCTCATGAAACATTTTTCAAAAAACCAAGGATCCTTTAAGTGACAACAACTCAAACTCAAGAAATGACTCAACTCATTAAATCTTTCACATGCTTGCTTGACTCAATTAGGAATTTTCAAAATCAGCACTTTTTAGACTTACATGCCCTCACAAGAAAGAAGTGTCCCAAAATCACAAACACATACAAACAAGACAAGGGACAAAGATGCAACACTCACACTCACAAAGAATCATCTCATGCACATAAATGTCACACCATATGCTTGCCCATATTTTCAATCAACATTGACTCAAATTCCATTTGGTTAGAAATATCAAAGGACTTTGTTAAGATTGTAATATAGGCTTAGGGAAGGTTAGGATATCATTTAGGTATAAGTGACTACGCCTCCTTGACACTACATAACAACTAATCATTTCCAACTTTCTCCACATTTCAAACCCATGCACATTCCACACTATTTTTCATTTTTCTTTTCTTATTTCAACTCTATATGCTCCACATGCAACCATTTCAACTCTTGGAGGATTCAAGTCTCATTTATTCATTTGTTTACTTTCTTTTTCAAAGTTTTTTCTTTGCACATATACATGTTCCAGTGATTCTGATTATATTTTTTGGGTATGGTTTTCATCTTACAGAGAAAGCATACAGATTTTAGTTCATCATATTCTTGTCCAACATTTAAGTGGCTTTTTCTGATATATTCCACATGCCAAGTCCAACAATGTGTATTTTTTTTAAGTGTACTCAAAGAGAAGGAGAACATTAGTTCATTCTATGTACTATCCTCATTGTTCGGTTTGCAAATAAATATACAAGAATTATAATATATGGATCAATACATGTGTCATTTTTTATGTTTATTTCTTTTTTTATTGATTAAGCAAGTACTGATGTGGTAATAACATAGTTGTATTCACGTTCTATCAAACATTGTATAAGTCAGTGATTACAATGACAGGACTTCAGATTTTGAACTTACCATTTGTTGAGTTAGTTGATTTAAACAAATAGAATGCAAGGACAAAAAACTAATGCTAGGGCACATGCTTGTAATAACTTCCTAAGGAATGAACCAGTTCTTATCTATGGCCAGCAACTCAATTCTTAGAGCAGTTCAAGACGCTGGTTAGAGATAGAATTCTTAGAGCATTTCAAGACGCTGGTTATAGATAGGTAATCAGAAAACTCATTTGTAGATTTCATCCAGTCAATACTCTCTTGTAACGTTTCTAGAAAAAATTCTCTCTAACTCAAAGTATTAGTTTAATTCTCACCCATATATGCGATCAGTTCTGCCGTCTGTCAGAAATGGCTGAGTGCTAAAAACTATAGAAGCACCTTTCAAGCCAACAAGTACTATTAACAACATCAAGAGAAGAAAATGTTGAAGATATAATTTAAGGACCATAAATTGTATCCTTTCTAACATTTTAATATATTACATAGGTGGTCATATTAACAGAGAATCGAGAAACAATTTAAAAATTGGGGATCCACTTTTATAGAGAATCGAGAAACAATTTAGTAATGCAATATAAAATAATTAAGAAGAAGAATAAGGTAATATATATATATATATATATATGTCTATATATATATATAAACTCAACATACTAATTACTATTCCTCCTCATCCTCATCCTCATCCTCCTCTTTTGACCATTCTTCTTCTTCTAACCACTCTTCCTCATTAATTGATGCAGTTGCCCCTTCATTTGTTATTTCTTCTATAGCAACATCTTCTAATATGTGTTCAGGATGCTCTAAATCATTTTCTAATTCAACATCCACGGTGTGGTGAACACTTGATATATCATCATCCTGGTATGCAACATCCAACACGTTTTCAACTTCCACACAACCCATGGGTTTGATTTTAATCACCACCCACCAATCCAATTTATCTGGACGCAAGGGATAAGGAGCATAGTACACTTGCTTAACATTTTGTGCAATAATGAAAGGATCATATGCTCCATACTCCCTTGTATGCTTTACTTCAATGATATTATATTGTTTGATTTCTCTCGTACCTTTTTTTGGGGTTGGATCAAACCACTTGCATCTAAACAATACATTTTTTTTATAGGCCACCCAAAATACTCTCTTTCCAAAACCTCCTTGAGCACCCCATAATAATCAACTCCATCTTGATTTCCATCACCACCTTTCACCCAAACTCCACTATTGTTAGTTTTTTTTATTTTTGGAGCATTCTTCGATATTGAATTTAAAACCATTTACAAGATACTTGTCCATTGAATAAATCTTGATGGGTCCCCAAGAAAGGTCCTTCAAAAATTGATCAAATTGACCATTTTTTGTGTCATAAATCTATAAATATTTGAAAAGTAGGAAATTAGTATCAATTAAATATAGATTTATTTAATAATGATAGTATTATGAAAATATTATAAGGCTTACGTAATCTTGAAACCACTTTGAAAAATGCTCAAACACGTCTTCATTGCCATATAAATGCACAAAGTAGCTGTCAAAGAAGATGGATATTGAGTTAGTTGTTTTGCCTTGTAATTACATATTTTAGTGCAAAAATAACAACTTACTCAAGAAATGGTTTAACTTGTGGGCAATTCAACAAGACATGTGTTGATGCTGACTTAAACTCCATGGCATTAAGATTCCTCCTTGTACGTTTTTTTGAACCTTTGCCTGGTTGATTGAAGATTGATAGTGGCTTAATAGTCTCACCACCATCGTCATAGCGATTGGGTCTGTTTCGCAAGCATGGCACACTAATTTTGAACAAATAAGAACCAAAATTAGTTATCTCCCTAGCAAGATGGAATTCAATCATTGAGCCTTCAAGTCTATGTTTTTGCTTCATGCCCCGTTTAGACTTGCCAATAGTCCTACATTATATTATATTATCATTGATTTTAACAAAATATTGATATAAAAATACTAACATTTAAACACTTACCTCTCAAATGGTTACATCCATCTATATTGAACCGGACCTCCGAGGCGTGCTTCATGCACCAGATGTGCAGGAAGATGTTCCATCACATCGAAAAATCTAGGTGGTAGAATCTTCTCCACTTATTTGTAATT